TTGTTACATTGTTTATGTATAATAAATAATTAATTTAAAAACAAAATTATACAAGTTGGGGTACGATATACGATAATTAATTTCTCTTAAAGTTAGCAATATGTTTTTACTAAAGAATTTATGTTGTAACACCTTATTTACACAAAATAAATATGTTTGCCTTTGAATAAACTTTACTTTTAATAAAAATAAACATAAAAATATTTGTTATTTTGCAAACAACTTAGTTTTCTATACTATTTACTTAAGGTAACTAATATTAAGTATACGCAGCGTAGGATTAAAATTAAATGAGTAGTGAGAAAATGATGTGTACAAATGCTTAAATCAAGTCTTTATTTTATATTTATATTTCCTGAGTTATAAAATAATATATTAAAGTAATATATTCGTATATACAAAATAATAACTGTTTTCTTGTATATCTTTTACTTTTAAGAAAAAAAATATATGTATATATATTTATTTTTAAAAGAAACTTAATCTCAATCTATTAAATGAAAACCTTAGGAATTTATCAATAAACACTGAATATAAATTCTTCATTATGTAATGTTTATGTTTATAAATTGAAAATTGATCAATCAATATTAAGTATACGCAACGTTGTCTTTAGATTAAATGAAAAGTGAAAATAAATGCATAAATCGTAATCTCTAAGAAATATTTACACTTTTATTTGTCTAACCATGTTTCCAAACTATTGCCACTTTATTAATTTTTAGACATATTTAAGTTTTAGCTTAGCTGTGGCCTTTAAATTTCTCTTGAATTGCTTTTGGTTCAGTTGTAAATATTGATCACAACAATAAGGGCTATAGCCATTACATTGTTGTGCATTTCTCACAGAAAATGAAACAAGTGAAAGTCGTGAAAAAAGGGAAAACTCATTTGCATGGCTTATTCCCTTTTGCCGCTGTTGCCGTCCTTAGCTGCCATCAGCCATAATGAAGTGGCACGATTTACGCCGAAGCCTTCATGTTGCCATTGTTTAGTTGGCTGCCAAGGACTTCAAGGACATTGCTGCAATATGCAGGCACAGCTAAAAAATACATTTACCATAAGATATAACAAAAAAAAGATTTTAAACGATTTTAAATCTATTTTCGTATGATAAAAGATTTAAAAAACATCGGTTTTCGTTTTTAAACTATCAGTGGATTTATGTTGGGGTTTTTCCACAGTGAAAACATTGATTATTTGTAAGAATTTTGTACCTTGATTTGATAGTTTTGTTGATATAATTAAAGAAAATGCTTATAATATTTCGCCTGTATTTTTCTTTTTCTTATTTACCAATATTTCTTTCTCAGTGTTAATATTTTTTTGCTATTCATTAATGCAGCACCCAGCCTTGATTGCTGCGCCCCACTCTCGCCGTTGTTATTATTATTATTTATATGTAAATGGATGGGCAAATATGAGTGTGTTGACTTCACAGACATATAATTTGGGCTTTAACTTTGGAGGCAATTTAAAGTTCTTGTGGAGTTTGGGAAAGCACTTTTCATTAGCATGCAAGTGCAATTCGGTCTAGGCAAATTGCTCGCCAGCAGGCACCAGATGAAAGCATAACACAAAACTCTAAGCCACAGACGGCCAAAAAAAAGGAAAAGAATTCAAGAAAAAAAGGAAAACTTTAGCTAAAAATGCGCCACGCACTCACTGGTACTCGCAAACGCCCGTAAAGCTTCTCAGTTTTGGCCATATGTTGCCACTGCCACTTGTGCTGCTTGTGGGCCACATTGCGGTCGGTTTGCTGGTCAGTTTGCCTGCGGTTCCTGGCCTGCCCCTTCCCCCCCTTAACACGGGTGTGTATGTGCGTGGCGTGACGTGTGTGAGGTGTGTAAATTCCATTTCTGTGGACAGACACGCAGACACGCAGACAAACACGTAATCGCACAAATCTGCATCAGGGTCCCTGATTAGTGTGTTGCATACTTCAAGGCGTTGTGAGTTTAAAAATTCCCCTTTGAATTCTTTTTTTTTTTTAGTTATTGTTTACTTCCACGTTATAGTTAAATATTAATGAATTAATATTAATAATAAACTATGATCAGAAATGAACTATGATCAATAAGTATCTAAGACCACTAAGTATGCATGATCAGTTACTAACTAAACTAACTAACTAAACTAGTAAACAATGACGTGCAACTTTTTTAGTACAACACATATTTGGCCGGCAGAAGTCACTTCATTCCGGGGATGTTATAACCAGTTGGGAATCATATGCACAGATGTGCGAGATTTGTTTTGGATCTAACTTAAGCTATTTGAATGAAACTATGGAGTTTTTCTTCTATATAATTTTACTACTATATATGTCGGAGCATGGCGAATCGGTGGACTATATATACATATATATAGCTGACATAAGAGCTATCGGACGATTTATAGAACTATGATCAGTAATTAACAAGGATCATTAAGTAACTATGAGCAGTAAGTAACTCTGAACAGTAAGTATCTATGAGCAGTAAGTAACTCTGAACAGTAAGTATCTATGACCATTAAGTAACTCTCAACAGTAAGTAGCTATGTCCAGTAAGAATGTAAAGAGGAACATGGCAATATGGAATTAAATTGGGAAGTTGGAATTGATCCCACCAATATCTTATTTATATATAATATAAATGTCATGGTTAAGACTTACCGCAGTAGAGGACACGTCATTGTTTACTTCCTTCCAATCTTGTGACCAAGATTGCTGATTCCATCCAAAGGGTGCTTCTTCCTAGTCATCCAGATGTATTGCATTGGCCACGTCATATTTTTTAGCCCGAAGGCTGATCACTTGCACTATCACTTGAGATGTTAACACTAGGTACCCCTAGGACACAATGAGGCGCGCGGGCCCTCAGCGCCTCTATTTATAGTCCGCGAGCAGAGCAGAGAAGAGCAGAGCAGAGCAGAGCAGAGCAGAGAAGAGAATGTGAGTGCGTGGGAGAGAAGCTGTTGCCTCTAGAGATTAACATAGAGCGATTAACATAGCGAGAGTGGGGGAGAGGCAGAGAGCAGCAGCGAGCTGATATTTAATTTAACTTTAATCAGCAAGTAACTTTGAGCAGTAAGTAACTCTGATCAGTAAGTATCTATGACCAGTAAGTAACTCTGAACAGTAAGTATCTATGACCAGTAAGTAACTATGATCAGTAAGTAATTATGTTCAGTAAGTAACTATGATCAGTAAGTACCTATGATCAGCAAGTATCTATGCCCAGTAAGTACTTATGATCAGTTACTAACCTTGAACACTAATAAGCAATGACTTGCAACTTTACCACAACACATTGCGAAATATGCTAAGGCGGCTTAGTATTATGCATTTCGTGTTTAATTCACTCGAATTCATATATTCAATTTATAAAATTGGTAAAAATATACAGTATTTGATGTATTTGGAAATATTAACTGAACTGAAAATATCACTGAATGGAAATGACAATTATTTTTGTATTGTTCAACCAAAGATTCTTGTGTGTCGCATAAACAGGGGCTATTTTGATTTCATGAATTCATGAATTATTAAATAATATTTAAGTTTGAAATTGAATTGAATAAAAAACATAGAAAATAACATAGAAAACATGGCAAAATCTCACCAAAATCTGATTATAATTTCATAACCTGTCTCTTCATCCCCAATACACCCAGTAAAACTTTAATCAGTTTGTTAAAACGATATAGCCTCATTCAGTTTATGACCAAACCCGCAAAAGCATTTGAGAAGATAAATATCGTTTCATGGATTTTTAATGCCATTGACTTTCGAGTAACTCCGTCGGGAGAGAGAAAAAACCAACACCGCTTGAGTGTTTAATTGCTCTTCAGTGCCGAGCCATAGTTACTCGTGAGTGTGTGTGCTCTCTTTTTTTGTGATTTCCTCCATTTGGGGGGTTCCCAGCAGGTTGTCGGGGCAATAAAATCGCCGCCTGCTGGGCACTGAAATGACCAGGATCCCGGATCCAGGACCAAGCACCAAGCACAGCCTCTACGTCCTCCGTGTCGCCTGTGTCTCCAGCTGGTTTCGCTTTGGCTCGCCAGGAGCAAATCCTTTAATCTGTCTTTCAATTTCAAATAACCCAATGGTTAAGCACTTGCAACACTCACATATTCACTGCCTGGCTGTCTCGCCTGTCCGCTTGTGTTCTCACATCGGCAACGGCAACGGCGACAGGGATGTCCTGAGTCCTGCGTCCTTAGCCCCCTCTTACAGCCGCCGGAATCTGCTGGCAGACCAATTGAATTGTTTCAATTGACACTTGGCCCGGTCCCTGGCTCCGTTTCTGTCGACTATCTTTGGACCTCTAGCTCCTTTTTGGGAGGGCTTTGTTCGCATTCATAATGAAAGTCAGTCGTTTGGCGGCATTGCCATTGTTGCCGCTAATTTGTGGTAACACTAATTGGCCCAGAGCCCGAGTGGTTAAGCCAGATAACTGGGGGGGAAAATTGGAGTCTTCACAAAGTGCTGAAATCTGGATTACTTTTTAGGAAACTGAAAAGAAAAGGAAGCTTTTATTACAAGTACCAAAAAAGTTGCAAATAAACTATATTTCTTGGGTATTAAGCAACAGAAAATAACTAATTCAAAAGGCTTTCGAACCTTAATACTAGAGTTCCTGATCCTGCCACTTTCTTGCCTGTACTCAGGTTCTTAACAACCCTTAGATGCGCAAATACACTTTCACTATATGACTGATTCCTGTCAACTCTACCGCAGTGGCTTTCCGCTTGACTTGACTTAACTTGGCCGGTACGTAGCCTTTGTTAACGTCTTGTTTGTTTACCGAATTATGCAAATATCGTAATGGGCTGTGTGCGTTTCATTAGGCTAATGTCTCTGGGCAAACAATGCGCATTTCCCAGTTTCAGCCATGAGGTTTTCAATTACAATTCAAGTTAAAATCAATTTGCCGGCCAATCGAAGCAGAGTCATTAAATGTCTGTCGTATAAAAGCTATGCAATCCAAGGGCAATGAAGTCAAAAGGACATCAAGATGTTACTGCAAACACTGGTGATGCCCTTAAGCCAATTGCTACGGCTTATAGGTAAGGTTATAAGGTTTTAAAGCTATTAGCCAAGAGGAAACTCTATTTCCCTTAGTTGTCCAATACTTTGCTACATTTTCAACCATACTGATTGTGTACAATAATTCTGGAACTACAACTTCGTTGCAATTGGATTATTTGAGGGCTTTGGAAGTAGCTCTTTGGGATTTACCTAAACCTGTGGGTCTGCAGTGGATTAATGTGGCTAAATTGAATGATCTGGAAGAGTTGGAGTGGCAAGTTATGGCTGCTGTTAATAGTAGCGTTACAGAGGTAAGGGGTCCAAAAACATATCTATAAATAATTGCTTATAATACCTCTTCGTATTTTAAAGGGTTTCATAACCATCTTATCAGAAACGAATCAATTTCTGCATGCTCGATATTATGCCACTCGCAGTGCCAATGTTCGGCTCAAGGATAAGCTCTATTTGTTCCTTTGCGAGGACGAAAGCCCTGCGGAATTGCTGGGCATGGATGTACTGCAGTGTGAGTAATAGAGTATAAGAAGGTGCTTAATGAAGGCATTAATGATGGCCCCCATTTCAATTGAGTGTTCCATTCCTGTCTAGTTCTATTGAGCTTCAACCATCCCCTCCTCCATCAGCATCAATTTATTAGCTTAAGCGGTGACTTTGCGCCACTTCCCAGGGGAGTGTGTGTTGTATGTGGTGTGTGTGGCAAAAACAAGTGGAAACTTGAAAAGTTCGGCACACAAGAGGCGACTCCACGCGTAAACATGACAAACCGGGAAAAGCTAGGAAAGCCCGGAAAATGCCGCAGGACATTCGTGGCCAGTTGATCAAACTTTAGCACTTGCCAATAATTTCAACGCTCAACAGCGTCTTGTTCAATTGTAAACTTTGGCTTTTTTCTGGCCTCGGCTTCGGCTTTTTCCTGCCTCTGTCTTTTGTTTTTCCTTGTTTTTTTATTGTTTTTTTTTTTCGTTTTTGTTTTTTTGTTTCTAACTTGGTTTGGTTTTGGGAGTTGAGCTTGGGATACCCTGGACATATTGGAGAACGGGTGTCATAGAACATACTTTGAATTATAAAACCTTTTAGACAAATTAGATTAAGGTGCCACAAGTTGGCAGTACATTAATCCTAAAAACTTAATTTTTTTATTTTTCAAAAATAATAATAAATAATTTAATAATATATTTGTATTCCTTTTGTTTTGATTTCCAATCTTAATAGCTTTAAATAACATTTCTTTTATTTATGCATTTATTATGCCTTAAAAACTTTTTATAGATATCTAGATATTCAACCTTTTTCGGGTTTTATAAAATATTTAAATTCTAAAATCAAAAGAGCACTTAAAACCCCGAATGGATTTTGTAACAAATGTTAATTTTAGCCTTTCTTCCTTTTAAATCCAACCCAGAACCTTTAAATTAGGTACAGTTTAAGTCCATATCTTTCGTTTTTAATTCCAAACTTTATTTTTTTTATCCTCTATGTCCCCTTGTTGTTTCTGCTTGTCCAACATTGGGGAAATCGCTGTAATGCGCTTTAGTCTATCCCCACCATCTGATGGTGCGACCTGGAACCGAGACGGAAGCTGAAACAGGAGCAGAACCAAAAACAGGACCCACGACAGACCCCAGGCGTAAGGGAGGCGCATCGGTAAACATGGGAAACAAGGACCATGAGGAGGGACTACGACAGGGATTGGACACAGGAGGAGCAAGAGGTGGACCGGGGGCCACTTCATCCCGCCGCGACATCAATTTCGAGCTGTGGACACAAAAGTTTGTCGGTGCCTTTGGTAATTTGGATGCCGTGCGCCTGAACGCATTCTTGCCGAACGAAACTTTTGCCCAGCAGCGGGTCGAACTTTATCCCAACAAGCTGCTCAATCTGGAGAGCCGCAGCCTGCTCGTTGGCTCCATTACTTATGTCCCATATACGATTACTAATTATGTGGTAAGTAATTGCCGGTTAAGTTTATATTTATCGTTTGTTGTTGTTTGTGCACACTGGGAGGAAACTAAGTCAGATTTTACTTGTGGGTCGCTTTATATTATATATTTTGTTTTAATTTTAAAAGCACACAGAAGTCAACTAAGGTTTCCTAAAGATTATAGGAGAAATTCTTATATAGCAAAATTTTAAATAAGATATCACTAAGGTTTTCATAGCTTTGAAAATTGTGACTAAAAGTTTTTCATCTAAAATAAAAACTTAAGCAAAATGTTATTTTGGAAGTAGCCAAGTTCGTGTCAATTTTATAAATTATATATTATAAAAAATAATATAAAATTAGTTAATTTTTGACATATTCTTAAGGTTTTTAAAATCTTAGTGATTTCTGTAAGCAATCCCGAATCAGAAGTATTTATGTATGATACTTGGGTTTTATTTTTGAAGAGTTTACTTACCAAATACTAGAAAATTATGAAAGTACTTTAATAATCCAATTAAATATCTTGAAATCATAAATTTTTAAACCTTAATTTAAATAATTCTGCCATAAAGTAATGAATTTCTCCCAGTGATTCCTTTACTGGCCATCTAGCTTTACCCCAAAATGCCTGAGATTTGCACGCCAACATTAAGCAAAGCCAATTGGTTGTCCTTGTTCCCCCCACCCCCACTTTCTCCGTCCCCCCTTCTCGAAGGACTCCTCATCTTCATCAGGCTCATTCACATCGTTGTCTTTGCATTAGTCGGATTCAGTGTGCGAACTCATCATGAATAAATGTCCAGTGGTTGCTTCTTTGTTTGGTGTGGTGTGGTGTTGTGTGGTGTTGGTTGTGTATTGTTTGGGTTTGTTGTGTTGTGTGTGTGTGTAATAGTGTGTTGTGGCTGAGTGTGGGTGCTTAGTTATTTGGCTTTGTTGTCGTTGTGGGCAACGATTTTGGCAACTAAAATGTAAGCACATGTTGTGTCACTATTGCGGTGCCCAGTCCAGGATTTTTTGGGACTTACTCTAGGAGAGAGGAAAGGCAGGAGCTGTCTGAATGATTTGTCCAAAGTAACATCAAGGAACAATGGTTAAATTAGTTAAATATAGCTAAAAATATTTATTTTTATTTGTTTTATTTTATTAGGGAATTCCTTCAATCATAAATTCTTTTAAATAAATAAGAAAATGTTAATTAAATTTGGGATATATTTAATATATATATTTTTTCTTTCGTTTTTGTTTTATGTACTCATCTTAAGATCTGTTTAGAACTTAACCATATCTTTATTTATTTTCATACACTTAACTTTCCGCTGATCCCATTGTATCTCATCCCTCAACCCCTAGGAAAGGACGCAAAAAAAGCGCTCTTGTTGTCATTTGGTAAAACTTTTGTTCGCACTCAATTGTTTGCCTTAAGGACATTTGCACATTTGTAAACACACACACACACACATGCACACACCGTATTGCCAGGGCTTACACAGATAGGCAAACAGCCACAAGCATGTGCGTGTGGTTTTGTTTGGGGCTTGGCTTTGGCTCCAACACATACACAACCAACACACACTCGGCACAGCACAGCACCCCACAACATTGATTTAAATTACGTGTTTCCATTTAATTGCTGCCCGACGAGCCAAGTGTCGATGTCCATTTGAATGCTACTTTGTGCCAAAGTGTTGCTTCTGGTGTTGGTGTTTGTGTGTGGGCGTGGAGTCATTAACGAAATTAGACCAGACACTTGATTGGCCAAAACACGAGCTGAGTTAGCCATTAACATTAACCATATTCATAGCCCGCTGGCGAGGGTGATGTGGATCCCATTGAACCACAAAAATCCGACCGCTCGATCACCTTCGATGGTGCCGAGGCGAATGTGATGAAAACTTTCTGTCAGGTTCACAATTGTCATCTCAGAGTGCAGGCCTGTAAGTAAATCATATATTAATTATAATGAAAATATATAATTAATTATATTTATTAATTATAGATGGTGCCGACAATTGGGGTGGCATCTATGAGAACGAGTCCAGCGATGGAATGTTGGGCGATATCTATGAGCAGCGTGTGGAGTTGGCCATTGGTTGCATCTACAATTGGTATGATGGCATCACAGAGACCTCGGTAACCATAGCTCGTTCCTCGGTGACCATTTTGGGACCAGCACCAGCGTAGGTTTAGAAATTATATCCTTAATTAATATAAATTAAAGTTAAATTTCTATAGACCCTTGCCCAGTTGGCGCACTAATATCTTACCCCTGAATGACCACACATGGCTGTTGCTGATCTTTACCATGGCAATTTGTGGCACATTCCTTTACATAATGCAATTCTTTAGCTATCGTTTGGGTCTGGGAAGTAAGACAGGTGTATTTAATCATGGCAAGAAGCTAGAGAAATCTATGCTGGATATATTTGCTCTTTTTATACAGCAGCCATCGGCTCCCCTGGGGTAATATATAGCGAAAAAATATTTTAAGGAATATATAACTTAACTTAGTCCAACTTACAGTTTCGATCGCTTTGCTCCACGTTTCTTTCTGGCTACACTTTTGTGTGCCACGATTACTCTGGAGAATATATACAGTGGCCAATTGAAGTCCTTGCTGACTATACCCTTCTACAGTGCTCCTGTGGACACCTTGGAAAAGTGGGCTCAGGCACAGTGGAAATGGGCAGCTCCCTCTATAATTTGGGTACACACAGTGCAGAACTCTGATCTGGTCACAGAACAGATTCTGGCCCAGAGTTTTGAGGTCCATGACTATAGTTATTTGGCCAATGCTAGTTTCATGCCCAACTATGGACTTGGCATAGAGCGGCTGTCATCCGGATCACTTTCCGTTGGTGAATATGTGTCAACGGAGGCTTTGGACAATCGAATTGTATGATTTCTTTTGTAGATATATAATTTAATATTATTTTAAATAACATTTAACAGGTTTTACACGATGATTTATACTTTGATTATACGCGAGCAGTGTCCATAAGGGGTTGGCCTTTGATGAGAGAGTTGAACAAACACATTCGAACTTGCCAGGAGACGGGTCTCTATGTGCACTGGGAGTTGCAGGTACATCAGTATCATAAAAGTTGCCTCTTTTTTATAATAATAACTATATTTATTCCCCAGTTTATTGTCAAGTATATGGATAAGAAGAAACAGGAAGTTCTTAAAGACCTGGCGAATGGACACAAGGCCAAGGGAGCTCCTCAGGTTCTGGATGTGCACAACATAGCCGGTGCTCTGTTCGTACTGGCCTTTGGCTTCACATTTGCCGGCTTTGCCCTGGTGATGGAGTTGCTGATCCATAGTGTGGAAATGGGCAAATAATTTGGCCATTAAAATGATGCCCCGTTTAATGCACAGAGAGCACAGAGGGAGTGTCACTCGGAGGAGTGACCCACTTCATCCTTGGCGACCATGGGCACGTGTCGCAGCAAACATCAAAATCGCATGCTGCACGACACACGCAAAAGCCACAAAAACCCCGCCAGACACGGGTGGGTCTAGAATAAGGGAAGCACTGAGAAAAAAATGAACCAATTATTAGATTTAAATTCAGTTTAAAAATACATAAACTTTTAACCACTTTGATTGAACTAGTTATTAGCAATAGAAGTAAACATTACATCTTCACAGTATTTTAGAAATACTAAACCCTCAAATTTAACAGAGTTTTCTTTCAGTGTGGTTGGATGTTACCCATGGCAGAAATATGACGGCAGTTTGCCAGCCTGAAATCGACCGCTGGCATTGTTGGCCTCTGGTTTTTGGGATGGATGAGCGACATGGCCGAGTGGCCAACTGAAGCGTGCCGAGAGGGAGACAGAGTGGAGCCCGGCGGGCACCAAAACCACCCATCTTCTCGCTTTTGCGGCACTATCTGCTCCTGCTCCTGCTCCTGCTGCACTTGCCACGGAAATGCGGGAGGGGATTTTTGAGGGAAGGATTGTGGATATGCAAGCGGAAAATGACTTCTGCCCTGTGTGCTGTGCGGTAATTGGAAAAGGGTTTAGTGCTAGACGAACGCAATTTCGTCGTAGTCCTAGTCGTTGCCCGTTGCGAAACGTTTTTAATGATGCCCTTAATTATCGCTGTGGGAAATTATTCATTATCACTAATTTGCCGCAGCTTACATGAGCTCCGTCGCCTGCCCACTCGAAGTTTGCAGGCGGAGAGTCTCTCTAAACGCTTTCTCACCGTCTTCTTATAACTCTTTCACTTTGCCTTACTTCACACATACATATCGCACCTGAATCTGCAAATACAGCTTGTTCTGGTCGTTAACAGCTCGTTTCAAAACGACAAACAAACAAACTAACCAAGAAACCAACAGTTACAACAGCCACTGCGATTGCACAGTCGGACAGACAGTGGTGGTAACAACAAGTTGGCCAACATGGCGGCTGTGTCATTTCCGTTTTGCGTTACTCTTTTTCCTCTGTGTTACACTATCCTTTTAAAGGGATACTTTGCTACCTTACTATATTAAGTGTTATAAAAGGTATTTGTTTAGTTTTTTAGAGAGATTTCAAAATGTCATAATTATTTTAAAACTTTAGCAAGCTTTCTCTGTCCCATGTGGCGTATGAGTGATTTTTGGATAAGGATCATTTTTTTAAAAAGACAGGGATGTATTTATAGTGTTTTTTAATAGTTTTTTAAACATATAAAAATGGAACTAAATATTCACAGTATGTACTTTTTCCTTCATGACGTATAAGTGGTCCATGTGGCGTATGAGTGATTTTTGGGAATCATAAGGAATCCTTTTAAAAAGAATATTATGTATGTTTAGTGTTCCTTTTAATGTTAAAAAAAAAGTATAGCAATAGGAATATAAATAGTGCACAGTATATAGTTTTTCTTGTATGACATATGTGTGGCCTATGTGGCGTATGAGTGATTTTTGGGAATCATTAGGAATCTTTGAAGAACAAAAAACTTAATTAATTTGTATTTATTGTGTTCCTTTTAATGTTTTATAAAAAATATAACAATAGGAATGTAAATATTGCACAGTATATAGTTTTACTTTAGTTTTATAACATATGTGTGTCTTATGTGGCGTATGAGGGATTTTTTTTTAAATTATGAAGTGCATATTAATATTAAAAAATGTATTTATCAAATACTTATTACTGTTGAATTATAATTATCATAAGAACAGAAATTTCAATAATGCACCATTTATTTTAAATTATTTTCTTTTAATTCAATGCCGTGAGGGTGGCCCATGTGGCGTATAAGTGATTTTTGGGAATCATAAGGAATCCTTTTAAAAAGAAAACGATGTATTTGTAGTGTTCCTTTTAATGTTTTATAAAAAATATAAATATGGGAATATAAATACTGCACAGTATATAGTTTTACTTTAGTTTAATAACATATGTGTGTCTTATGTGGCGTATGAGGGATTTTTTTTAAATTATGAAGTGCATATTAATATTAAAAAATTTATTTATCAAAAATTTATTACTGTTGAATTATAATTATCATAAGAACAGGAATTTAAATAATGCACCGTTTATTTTAAATTATTTTCTTTTAATTCAATGTTGTGTGGGGCCTTTGTGGCGTATGAGTGATTTTGGGAATCATAAGGAATCTTTGAGGAACAAAAAACTTAATTAATTTGTATTTATTGTGTTCCTTTTAATGTTTTATAAAAAATATAACAATGGGAATATAAATAGTGCACGGTATATAGTTTTACTTTAATTTAATGACATATGTGTGGCCTATGTGGCGTATGAGTGATTTTTGTTTCAATTTATGTGCATATTAATAATAAAAAATTTATTTATCAAAAATTTATTACTGTTGAATTATAATTATCATAAGAACAGGAATTTAAATAATGCACCGTTTATTTTAAATTATTTTCTTTTAATTCAATGTTGTGTGGGGCCTATGTGGCGTATGAGTGATTTTTTGTAAGCATAAGGTAAATTGAAAAATATTATATATTTATTGAATTTTTTGTATAGTTTTATTATAATATTAGGGAGAGGAATGTAATTATTTTACAGTTTATATTAACTCTTCCTATAATTTATTGATGTATGTACATATGAGTGGCCCATGGGGCGTATGAGTGATTTTTTCAAACCATTAGAAAAATGTCTAGGTACAGTAGCTTATTTGTTCTTTTATGCGTTAAATAAGAATTAGTTTCTTAATATAACTTATTTTATATAATATTATTCTAGCCTGAATTAAAGGTAAACAGAATAAATGGTATATCCTGGGCTTAGTTGGCTTAAGACAGAGTGCCCAACACTTCGGTCATCACTCAGTTTTTCAGACTCATGTTTTTATTTTGCTTATTCGTAGTCCAAGCTTTTGCATATTTCCGCTTTTGTGTTTGGAATTTTTAAGTGAGTGTGCTCAACTTTGTTTGTTGATGTTGCCATAGCCGCCGGTTGCTGTGATTGCTGCTGATTTGTGGCTGCTAATGCAGCTGTTTGTTTTCGTTTGTTAGCACTCACTCACAAGTTTTCCCAACATACATAACATATAATAGTACAGCAGCACCGTGTCAGCAATACGACAATTTCATACTGCCAGAAAACTTTTTTGGCATCGAATAATTTCGCCTCAAAGGGTTCAATATGCGGAATTGGATAGATAACGCGAAGTTTTCATCCGCCAGTTCATAACTTTTGCATTTGCACTTAATTAAAAGAGCTGCGGAAAATGGGGGAATATTTTTCACATGCAATCAGTGGCAAGCTGCACCTGGGCCGCGTCTCGTCTCAGATTTTAAGTTAATTTATGGCCAGCAGCCAACAGGCGATAATTGAAATTATATGAAGGGGAAGCCAGCCGGCAAACTCCTTTGGCCGCGACGCTGTAAATAAAATAAATCTGTGCGAGGCAATGTCGCCGTGTTACCGTGTTGAAATTTACGCGCTCCGATAAAAGTGCTATCCGGACGGATAGGATTGGGGAATGGTATTGGGTTCAGGCGCCAAGGAGTCCCGGGACTCGCACAAAACCCGGAGTAGATTGGCACGTGCAACTGCAGCCAGACGACAGCACCGATAAAATATGAGCTCGATCCGGAGGTCGGAGGTTGGGACCGAAGCCGAGGCTGAGGCTGAGACTGAGACTGAGGCCTTTAAATTGAATTAGCCAAGGCGAAGGCAAAGCGAGATTCTTATGAATTTTTAATGGCCCGCCATTTGAATCGATCCAATTAGAAATTCGGAATTTTATTTTTGTTTTTGGTCCTGCATAATTGCCTGTATTTTCCGTCACTCCTTGGCATTTCGAAGACGTTGCCTTAACAACGGCCCCCTATCTCATCACGGTTCATTATCAAGGCAGACGGTATCCCACCATCTCAGTGATGCTTCAAAAAAATAGCTATAAATTATATTTAAACTTCTAAACATTAAAATTTGTATATATAAATAATGTAAACAAGTTACGGTTGAAATATACTTCAGCTTATTTTTATTTAGTAGGAAACTTGACACAAATTTTTATTGGGACACATACCTCTAAACCTTTTAGGACATGGTAAATTTGATGCTGTATACGATTTTTACTCAATTAAGTATCTCAATGTTCATATTATTTAGCATTTAAAAGGCCATCAAGACAACACTGCACTCCATCTTCCTGATTTTAGCGACAATTTTTCCAAGACGCCGGCAAATTTATCGCTCATAATTATTTCATTTTACAGTCTGCTGAAGTTCCCAGGCACAACGACCTCCTCGCCTCTTTGAGTCTTTGACATGCTTTTAAATTCTGCGAGCCCCTTTGTTTGTTTTCCATCCTCGGCGGCGTCCTTTTAATATTTTACGAGGTGTTTGCTATTGGCTTCCCATCAAACTTTTGGCTTAGTCTAAACCTGCTTAGGAAAGCATTACACAAATGCACTCGCTCGCTGGCACAGTTTCCAGTTGCTACAAGCCGCCATTGTTCTCCCTTTAACCCATTGTGGCCCACCTCCTAAGCTGGCAAGGAGCCTGTTTGTGTGTGTGTGTGTGTGTGTGCTAGGGGTGTGTGTGTGGGGGTATTTGGCGCCAATCAACACACACGACCATGCGGCAGGTGGCTGGGAGTTACCTCAGTGCCAGCTGCATTAGCATAATAAAACAACTGGGGGGAAAAGTTGAAGTCAAATCTTAAATATACAATTGCAACAGGAAAACACCCTGTAAAAGGGTTCTTGTATAAATATGCTTCCGACTGATATGTATTTATTTTTAATTACTTATAGTTAAAAGATTATTATTATTATTTGTAATTAAACACGACTGAAGAAAGATCTTAAAAACTATGGAAGCTAAATAAAGTACCTACCAAAAACCAAACTGTATGAACTTTCAAATTTAAATCAAAACGGAAACTTAACGGATTATTTCGCACCTGCAAACATATGTAATAGCTCAAGTTTACCGGCACACCCTATGCCAATTACAGGGTAACACAAGCACAAAAGCCCAGCTCCCGCAAAAGTGCAGAGCTGCTTTGGCAGGCTTTTCAAGCGATGCAACAACAAACATAATAGTTGTAACAAAAAACGAGAGGCAGCAGGCGGCGAAATAGTCGGGGGAACAATTATGCAAACATGTAAATATGTAAGTATGTATGTATATATATTTGTGCACATGCTGCTGGTGTTAGTGCGTGGGTGTATGTTTGTATGTTTGTTTGTAGGTGCGTTTGCATGTTGTGGGAATTTAGGTAAATTGTTTTGCACTTAGCTAAAAAGTTGGCGTGCCAAATAAATACAGGGCATGAAATCGGCTTAAGCTGTTATCTCTCGTGCTGTTTCACTTAGCTGCGTTTTTGGCTCGGGATCGAGAGCCATTAATCACGAGCGGAAGCTTACAGAATCAGAGGGAGATGGATATATAGAGAGAATGCAGTGGCGGTAGCTAAAGGGGCTTTCTTTATAGTGAGTTGATCCCCTCTGGGCTACGGGCTTCGGTCTACGCCACTGCACTAGTATAATTGAGGAATTACAATTTGAATGGCAGGTTCTCTCACTTTAAGCTTAAAACCCGAAGCTTCCCTACCCCCTCAGCTCTGAGCTCTCAGCTCTCACCTCTTTCCATTCCCTTGTTCTTTCTTGCAGTTGAAATGACGAGTGACAACAGCAAAGTCAAAGCAGGCCAGGCACCAGTATCAGCAACAACAATGAGCCCGGAATAACAGAAATGTAAGTGGTCTCAAATCCATTGACTATCCTATCGGAATCTGGCTGAAACAAGACAAATTGCACTCCAGCCGGGATCTATGGCTACCAAATGAAACAGAGTCACCTCACAAAGTCTGGACCGCTTTTTTTTATGCCGTTCCTTTTCCGTAAAGAGTTTGCCATAGACGAAAGAAGATAAAAGGAGAGATGACGTTATAGAAAGGAAAGAGAGAGAGAGAGAGAGAGCGATGCCAGAGCTAAGGGCATAAAGGGCAAGCCGTGTCGAAATGCTGCTGACGTTTCACATTCAAATGCTGAAGAAATAGAAAAAAAAAAAAATGCTGGAGAATATTAACAACGAAGTTTGAGTGCTCTAAGAACTTAAAATGACAAATGGCAAATGACTTATTTATGCAGGTATGTATGTATGTAAATGTATACAATAATGCGCAGTTGTCTTATCAGTAATCTCTTCTTTGCTTGCAGTCTCCCTTAAAATGGAATAGTAAAAATTGCCTGGCTAAAGCTTTCTATAAATAGAATGTGATAAATGTGCTTCTCAGTGTTTTACACAGATTTATAACACTATGGCTGACTTAAACTAAAGTGAAAATTAAAAGTACAAAAGTATATTAAAAGTATAATGGATAACTAAAACAAAACCAAAATTAAAAGTGTGAAGTGAATATCTAGTGTTAAATGTGCATCGGTGTTATACAGGGACTTGTAGTATTTCGGCTCATTAAAAACGAGTGTGGTGTATTTTTTTAAAAATTTTTTAAATATATTTTTTTTAAGTGAAGTGATTGCCTAGTGCTTAATGTATTTCCTAGTGTTTTATAGGAATTTATGGCAGTTTACTTATTTAAAAGTGTGTGTGATATGTATCAATTTTTTTTTTTAAGTGAAGTGATTGCTTAGTGTTTAACCGCGTTTATAGAGGAACTTTTAGCATTTCGTGAAGTGAATTATCTTGCCCTTAATGGGTAATTAATAAATTTTTTTCAGGTATTTATAGTATTTTCCCGAAGCTTACGACACATTTGGGTAAGTTTGCAATTTCCTTGAATTAACTTCACAAATCTGCATACCCCTTGGGAAGAGGCACTTCAACTGAATATGGATTGCAGGGACAAGTCCGGGATTGCGGAGTAGCTAGTCACACTCTGGGATGGCATATAAATTTTGCGGTCGGCGGCAATAAATCAGCGTTTGGCTGTCACCCATTTTGCCATTTTGCCAGTGTAAATCGCAGGCCTTTGCTTTCTCCTCTACCTCCTCTAGCTCCTCCTCCTCCTCCTCCTCCTCCTTCTTCGTTCTCTTTAGCTCTTTGGTCCCGTCTTTTGGGTGGTGCTCCGAAGGCTGCTCTCTTTAACTGGTCATTAATTACAAATTATATGCCACTCCTGGCGGCAGGAGCAAAATCCTTCTGGGCTGTCAGCTGTCTTGCGAGTGTCGCCCGGCCCACAAATTAATGTTGACACCGTCGCAGGTCCCTTACACTGGAAGAAAAACAAATCAGTAATAATTTTCTAATAATTTTAGGAGAATAAAAATTTAGAGTTTACCTTTAAAATATTAAGAAAAAGGTTCCTTTTTTGTGAGATATTTAAAATTAATTTATTTTTGAGTCTAGAGGGTAACTTATGTATTTCCTTTTAGGTTACCGGATTAAATCATATTATAAAGTCTAACATTAAACGATATTTAGCTCGAACTTTATTTCCTGTGCAGGTCTTCAGATTCCGGAGCTAAGTGGCGGCTTCGTTAGCGATGATGAAGCCGCCGCTGCACTTCAAAGACGCATTAATAATTAATAAGATTGTAGCCGGGGAAAAAAAAAAAAATGAGCTGGCCGTGCGAATTACTTGGCTCAGGTTGCTACTTGGCCACTTGGCCACTTGGCAGCTGCCAAAGGTCCTCTTTTAAGCAGCCAGTGCCTCCACCTACCCCCGCTCCAAGTGCTTGCGTATGCAAATATTTGGCCCCAACTCTTCGCCCCCGCCCGCTGCCGCAACGCACTTACGAATTCCGTTTCAAATTCAGAAAAGTCATTAAATAATTTTCCACACTTGCACTTAACGCCTGCCTAGGCGAGCGGAAAAATGGGGCCAGGGCAAAGGCGGAGGAGATACTTGTCCTGGTCTCATGCATGTGGATAATGACTGCCAAGGCAATTTGATGTATAAACAAAATTCAACCGCTCCATCCTGCATACCTTGGATTCCATGATTCCCAGTCCGCCGCAGACGGCAACTAAAATATGAAATGTGTCTGTCTGAATGCATGAATTTATTTGTAGTGGAAGCCACTCAGCCGACTAAGTGGGCCAAAAAGGCGTAACCCGAACGCCTTTGGGTATTTACACAGAGAAAATTTAATTAATCGCATTATTTTAGAGGAATTTATACTAATGGGGTTACTTTGAAATTTTTAACATATTAATTTATAAATATATATAAAATATTATTAACCTATTTATATACATTATATACATTTTGACATATATATAATATGTCAAAATTTATAAATATATATAAAAAATTATTACCCTCTTCAAAGCTTAAAACTTTACAGTTATCGCTCAATAAAAGCTCATTATTTTCTCATATGCTTTTCAGGTGTCTCTTTGGAATTACAGTAAAGCTTCAACTACAACAGATATCCAATTAATACTCATAAAGCGGGTAAGTCTGAATAAAGTAGAGTAGAAATTTATTTTTATTATAAAAAATACACAAAAATTTGATTAGAAAAATATAATGTTATAACAGCTGGTATAAAACAATTATCTGCTTAAATGATAACCTGGGGAAATTGTGTGTTCTCATACATTTGTGTTTCTTTTGTCTTTTATTATTGTTTAAGAAATCACTAGTTTTTGTAGTCACCAAATTTAGAGCAAATTTAAAACAATATAAAATATTGTAGCATACTTTTTAGGGGTTTTTCGAAACATTCGTTATTTCTATGTCTTTGCCGATTTTATTGCATATTCTTATAGTTGATATTTATAAAATGAATATTAAAAGACTATTCAAAAGTCGTTTTCTGTACTTTTTTTATTCTGCTCCCTGGTTTGCACACTTTTTTCAAGAAGAATGGATTAACAATTGAAAAAAATGTAAACACTTGTATATTTATGTACGTTTTTTACGCATTTCAATCTAATAAATAGTATTTTATAAATATTTATTTTCGCGTGTAATCGTTTGTATAATTGCCATATGTGCTCTTATCAGTTCGAAGTCATTTTAATTGAATGTCATGTGAAGTGATGTATTTGCCATTTGGTAATTTGCTGTCAATAAAACCAGAGCTATTTCGATGCCAAAGCCACTACAACGCAAAGGCGTGAATAAGCTCTGAATAAAGTTAATGTAAAGTCGCACAACAGCCAAATAAGAAGTGGCAGGATCGATTCAAAGAAATGGCGGTGGGGGTGGTGGGGAAGCATGCCAGGCACAAGGACACGTCCTGCCGGCAAGGACTCAACTCAACATTTCCGGCTCGATTGCGGCTTATTTGATTTTCATTAGGCATAACTCAATTTGAAGCAAATAAAATGCGCTCAGCCGCAGATGAGCTGCTTATACAATAACAGCAGCAACCGGATCCGGATCCGGATCCGGAGACTGGGAGATGGACGCCCCCCGGACAAACCAGGAGAATAAAGCGAACGGAAACGGAGATGAGAGATGAGATGAGAGTTGGCAGGCGGCAGACAAGTGGGCCCAGAGGGAAGAATCGGCCGGCTCAGGTCTCAGCCCAAAGTCCAAGTCAGAATCGGAGGCTGGCCAAGGAACTTCTCCGACCACAACCAAGTGCGGATGATGATAAAGTTAAACTACAAGCCCCCACGAACAATGGGGTTCGAGATGCCTCTGAATTGAGAAAATCAACTAAGAGCCAACCTTTTGATTTCACTTCCTGTTAATATTGTCCGGGGGAAAAATTAGAGATGTCTGAAAGTTGTTTAGGCACTAGTTAAGGTTTTGTTTCCAACTAGGTACTTTTTTATTTAGTTTGTATTATTTTACATTTAAAATTAGGGTTTTTACCAAGGAAAGGCATCAGGAAATGTATAGGTGGAGAGATATTTGGAAAGTTGTACTTTGATTTTGTATATATTTAAGATTTCCTTGTACCTAATCCATTTGAAACCTTAATGGAGTACCTTTGCCAGCACTGCCTGGTAGTATCCTTTGGGATCTCGGAGTGGGAAAAGGCCGAGCACAATCCACAGGCATAAGTAACTTTGGCAGCCGATTAAGGTGAGATGCCGAGCAATGCAGGTTGAATCTCAATTCAGGACCTAATCAGCTCTGTCTGCCCGTGTGTATGGAGAGTGTGTTAGTCAGTGTGTGTGTGTGTGTGTGAGGGTGTGTGTGTGTGCTGGGCTTGACACCCTGGGGAGATCATTATATCGTCGGTTTGGCCCTAGTGCAAAGTTTTCTTACCTTTCGACTTCTTAGTCCTGGGCGGCTGATAAAGTATTTATGAGCCGTGCACATGTTTGGCGGTGAAGTTCCTCCAACTTACAGGCGGCCAAAAATGAACTAATTTGGATTCTTAAATTCAGAAACTAAAGCTGGAACTAGAAATTACTTGAGATTATTATAGGGTTTGTTTAAAAATTTAGTGAAAATAAGTGAAAAAGAATATTCTTTGGAAATCTATAAAAAATAATTTAATATCAAAGTCCTTGCAAATAATTTAATTGAATTATTGATATTTGAAATATTTTATTTTCTATTTATTACTTTATTTACCTTTATACATATTTATGAACGAATTAAGCCCATAGCTTTTATGTTAACACAAAAGTCGGGTTATTGCTTAGGTACATAACTTTATAATTGGAAATAGCCAACAGTTTTTTTTTCCGATTTCAAAGGTTCCTTTTTCCGTCTGATCAGCAGCAAATACTTTTCAAGCTGCTTTCATAGAATAAACTACGCACATATCCCCATTCGTTTTAGTTATGCTGAAAAGTACTTATAAACTCTGCACTCTAGTCTCTTCAAATCCTTTGATTTTCCCAGCCATTTTCCTGGCAGGACTTCCAATCCCAGGACCAGACCACTTTGGCCCCGACTTTTATTTGAGTTTTGCCTGTACCTTTGCAAGTTTTACGTTTCGGCGTAAGCTCAGTTTTCAATTTCATTATTTTTGTGCTCATGCTGGTTCCGATTGTTCTTATTGTTTTATTATTTTTTTGTTTTTTTTTTCGGCTCTGCTTCCCTTTTGTTTGCGGTAAACATTTATGTATTATTTTGTGATATCATCAGTAAATATTTTCTCATTTTATTAAACTGAAGCGAAGCGGTGGCAGGGGATGAAGGGGTTGCAGGAGAAAGTCAAATGCCAAAAGTGGTTTTGGTAAAAGTTTTGGCCGACTTTTGTTGATGAAAGTAATAGAGTTTTGCATAAGCTTTAACTTGTTTGCCCCAGCTTTGGCTCTGTCGGTGTGTGTCGGTGTGCCGGCGTGTGTTGTGCACTAATTAAATATGGAAAAAGAGAGAGCAAAGGCATCTCAGAGATAAATCTGTTAAGTGGTGGCAATTAAATCAAAACTAAATGCGGCCTTTCAACATGCCAAAGCCATTTATAAAAACGAAACGAACAAAAGGAGAGCACCCACCCACGCACATTGGGCGGGTAACCGCGGAAGAGCACTCACTCCGCACCACCACTTGCACCCACAAAACCATAAAACAAAAGCCCGAACAAAAGCTAATTAAGTTTATGTCACCGGAAATTTGTTTCACCTCAAAAACCTCGAATTGTGTGTGGAGGAGGAGAGGAGCCCGGCAGGAGATAAAATGTACGTGGCCCCGTTTTAGGTTGTCACACGGAGCGCAACGGCAAACGCAATGGAGCACATAGCACCTGGAACAACTGGAACAACGGGGTCCCGGATGAAGGCTGAGGAGAGAGTTCTGAAAAACTTTCATCTCGAACTTGTACACACTCATTGGCAATTAATCTGCTCGCCAGCAAAGACAAATGTAATGTGGA